TTACATATGCTCTCTTATATTTTAACCCCCAATTATATGAACTTAAAAAATTGAGGGCAAAATAATCAAAATTGACTTTTTATTAATTTATAGGAAAAAAAAAAAAAAAAGGAAAAAGGGTTCAGGGACTAATAAAAAAATTGAAACGACGAAGGGTCTTACATCGTTTTGAGGAATCAAATCACTCTTGTTCACAGCACAAAACACGTCGACCCCTCCTCTAACAGAAAAACCAGAAAAATGACGAAGTAGGTGATATTAGCTTTCTTCCTCACTCTCTCGCTCTTCTCCTTCCCCTCCTTCTAATTCGAATCCGATAAGCTCTTCTTAGGAGACGAGGAGTTCGGTCTCGAGGGCGCTCCACCTTGCTTCCCTAAACCCGCATCCGTCCTTGCGGCTACTAGATCCTCTCGGAAGAGGCATTCGGAGTCGGAGTCTAACCCCAGGATCCAGTTCTCTCTGGAGCACGCTTTCGATGACTCCGATTTCGTTCCTGCTGGCACCTTCTCCGCCTGCCTCAAGACTTGGAATCACAATGGCCAGGTTAGATTTAAAATCCGATGCCAAATTGCTAATCTAGAATTCATTTCTGACTACTAGTTTAGCTTCTTGGTTGTTTTCGCTCTGTTTTGCTGTTATGGGGATCTGTTTAATTGCTAAAATAAAGTTTAAAAACTGAGGTACTGATGCACTGAAATCACCTTAACAAGTGTACTAGTCGCCCCAAGTAATATAATGATGAGAGAGTGTCGAACCCACGAGAATTGTGTCTAACTAAGTATCAAAATAATTAATCTAAATTTATTTGAACAATCAAAAAGGAAGAAACTTTAATTAAAAATACTAAAAAGAAATTAACAATTAAAATCACGCTAATGAAGATATGAGGTACTAAGGCATTGACTTCACCATAATCAATTAATAAAAATTTTGGATTATCAAATTGTTGAGTGTTATTGCATGTGATGGTGGATTTCCCTAGATTAATTAACTAGCTTTCTCAAGTCAAGTTAATCCTTCACTAGTTTGTTAAATTAATCATATCTCTATGTAATTTTAAACAAACTAATGAGTATTAAATTCTATGGAAACCTCTAACTTAAGAAGGGAGAGCTCTTAACTCTCTTCTCTTCCTCTACTACCACATGTGACCTAATTACCTCTTGGTCTCATAGTCTAACATACGGTTTATATTATTATTGGTCTAATCGATGCAATTCTTTCTCAAGTTCATGCATAAATCACTAAATCAATCGAAAGGTGATCAGGCTTCCAATGCATTAAGTTCAATAATATAAACTCTTCATCCAAATAACTTTAATTGAAAACATAAAATCACAAAATATATATTGAATTGATTAGGCTACATCATAACCCTAGTAGAATAAATCAATTCATAATAAAAATAATAAAATCTGAAATCATAGTTATGAACATTCAAATATCAAATAATAGATAAAAATCCAAGGAAAACAAAACCCAATTTGAGGAAATCGAACTCCTTGATCTTCTATTGTTGAATCCCTTTTCTTGATCTTCAAAAATGCCCAAAAGAGAGCTGCCACCAGCCTCCACCCAGCTCTCTTAATTCTAAATTTGGATGGGTATTTATAGGATTTTAGAAACCCTAATTGCAATAGAAGTAGGACTTGAATCAAAATAAGAAAGTTGAAATTTGGATGGTGAACGTATGGTGTCGACACCCCGAATTACGAGTCGACACTACACTCCTTTTGCAATTTCTTCAATGGTAAAATGGTAGATCTGTCCTCCAACTTTTGTACAATGAGTACTTAGATCCCAAAACTCAAGATTCATTCATTAAGGTCCCAAAGAAGCGCCCTTCTTCTTGCAATTCAGTCCCTCAACTTTCAAAAGATGTTCAATTAATCCCAAAAACTCTTCTTTTATGCATTCAAGTCCTTTTTTGCACAAAGAATGAAAATTATGTAAAATCTTATAAAACTCAGTAAAATCTCACAAAACTCATCCAAATATCAATAATATCAAGGCAACAATTCCACATTAATATATATATATAAATTCAACTCATCAAGTACAAATTGGGGTCTACTAAAGAGCTTACACTTCCTTTTCCCCTTTCCTTTTTTCCCTTTTTTCTCAAAAACTCAACGGAGTTTTTGAATTCTTTTGTTGAGATTTGAAGATTGATTCTTACTACTTTGTTAATTACAGTTGGCTTGCTGTTATTTTTAGAAAAACCCAAGTATGATAATGGATTTGACATGCGGTTTTTCTTTTTGACACACTAACAAAGCTGCCGTTTTCAAGAAATAGTTTCACTAATGAGGAGAAGGAGAAGTTCAAAGTAATTGCATGTTGTCTGGAATCAATTCATGTGTATCATAAATCATTGTACATTGCTTTGATTTGTATGGTTCTCTGTCCTACAGAACTTGCTTCAAGGTGATGACTTTTACAAGATAAGGCTCCCATCCAATGTTTTAAGTCCCCCTAGGAAGGATTATATTATCTCATCAGTGTAAGTAGTAAGTTAACCTCTTATAGGTTTTTTATGAATTCAAAATGTTTTTATCTTTCTGGTCAATTATTTTCCTCTTATAGGTTAAGCTGTTAAGCTTATTCGTCAAATGGACATGTACTTTTCTGCTTTTGGATTGAAACTTCTATACAGTGTAGTTATCTGTCAGATTTAAGGTCTCTAACCAAGCTCACCATGAGAATCTCTGCAATCTGCCTTAAATCTATTGACTACACAGCATGCCTCAAATCTGAATGTGTATTTCGTCTCACTATTTGTTCATAGTTGCTTTTATTATGAACTCGTACTCTTAGCATTTGTCTAAAAGAAGTTATATAATTTCCCCATAAATTTTGATGCTATAAAAATTTGACAGCGGAAGTCAGAGCTTTTTGGTTTGAATATGAAATTTTAGTTTTCAAATATTAATTAAAAAAATGTAATGCCATAATGCTCTTCTCTCAATTACGAAATTATTCAAAAAATTTAATTATGCTGTCTCTTTTTGAATTTGTATGGTTTATCACCATCTTTTGTTTAACTGCAGAGATGTCTTCCACGGGAGGGTTTGGACAAGCATTTTGTCATACACAGGGTAATTTAGAGTTAACTTTACATGTTGGTGCTGCATCATCCCCTCCCCCTCCTGGGTGTGTTAATAGGATTGGGTTTTAATTTAGTCAAAATTGTTATGAAGAAATTTGTTTTTGCAACTTTGGTATGTAATGTAATGTGTAAAGCTTTCTAACACTTCTTTGAAATGGGATTAATTATCATATTTTAAAATGAAAAGCTTTATTGTTCCACTTTTAAGAAGACTTGTTATGATTTCATTTTGTCAATGATAATGAGTTCCCTTTTTTTGGTGCTAACTTGCCTAACTTTATAGTTAATTTTCACTGCTTTGACATGCATCTAGTGTTTATTTCCTCATTTCTTTTTTAGATTATCATATGGTCAATTTTTGTGTAAAATTGGAAAATGTTTTCTAAGGAAGTATATATGATGGTTGTCAGGATGAAACTTCCTTTTGTAGTTCTTACTATAGTTTGCCTGATTGCTGTTGCCCTTCTATCCCTGCTATTGCAGGAAGGTGTAAATATCTTGGCAGTCAATTATGGTTCTCCAGGGGCATGTCCATATCCTCGGCAGTTGAAACTTGTGAGTTACTATTTATCTCTTACTTTTTTCTTTTTTCTCAGTTAGTTGAGCAAACTATGGAGATTATAGCCTCTTCCTCAAATTTATTGTTGTCATTATTGCCATTTGTCCTATTCTACAGTTAATTTAAGCAAATATCTTAAAAATGAACTTCTAAGTTTTGAGAGTGGCCATCATTTTATGACAAAAATTAGGGACCATAATCTCAACTTATTTGAAATTTGTAAGTTGTTGTCTTCACCTGAAGATGGCAATATGTTGGATTTTCACTGGAGCACTTAAAAGTCCTTTCGCTTGCAGCTTTAAATGAGCCAAAGCATGAACTTCCTAGCCATGGTTGTTTCCCTCTATTACACTGCCATTATTAATGTTTTGTCTATTGCTTCACTTCCATGTGTGCTTCCCTTTGTGTTACTACAATGTCTTTTCCTAAATTTAAGTCGTCATTTTAATGGGTAATGTGTAGAATCACAGCTTTGCAGCTCATAGATTTAATGATAACTTTAAATTTCATGGCCCATGGGTTATGTGAGATATAAATTTATTCTCTGACACTTGTCCTGGATACTGGATCTAGAATAAGTTTAGGTCAATTTGAAGTTGTAGTTTCAAATGTCATTTCTTGCACTGTGGTATGTTCAATTAGGGTTCATATGATTCAACAACTATAACCTCATCAACTGTACTTCCTTAAGCATGCCATGGCATTCAAATGCTTCTATTGTCTTCTAAACTTCCAAAATATTTTATTTTCTCATATTTTATACTTGCCTTGTAAAACAGAAGATTGATTTTGATGTACTGATTTTGCAATATTAACTGAACTTTCATGAAGATAGAAGGTGATTTCTAGCGGTCTTAAAACCATTTCTCTAGTTGTATTGTAATCTATGTTCACTTTACCTAACAGCCTTTTAAATGGGTCTTCAACTCTCACACAATTTTAAAGAACACTGAGCAGGCACCAAAGTATTCTCTTAGCTATGTTATTCGCTTGTTTTCATATCCAGTATTATAGCTCTTGCTTTTTCTCTTTCTGATTTTTAATGTTCTCAACATTATTGACTCTTTCTTTATCTTCAGTTTTATTGATTGACATCTAATTGGAAGCCATTTCATGGCTTAAAGGATAAGTTATAGATTGTAAATTGCAACCTCATCCTGTTTCTTTTACTGTCTCAAGAGCATCAGATACAGGCCTTCCTCAATGGACAACTTCGTTTTAGTAAATAACTCAAATGCATCTACATTTTGTCCAAGATGATCATCATTGTATACATCATATTTGTAAATTAGCTATTGCAGTTTTGTTTTCATTTTAAGTTGCTTTATTTAACTTGAAAAACAAGGATTGCTTTTGGCATTGCCTTTTTTGTTTTATAGGGCTCCAATCTTTACTGAAAAAGTTCTGGGTGGTGAGAATAGGAAGGGTGAAGTTGTGCAGCCGCCAGAAAGATCTTTCTGGGCCAAATATGTAAGTTGGGACGGAGTTGTAATATCCTTTACTGTATTCTGTTTAAGCCATGTTGAGTGAGACTGACTGAATCATTTGTTTGTAGTGGATGTATTTGATCCTTCTTGGACTCATAGTCATGAATGCCATAACCCAAGCAATGAATATGCCCGAGGAACAGGCTACTGGTCAATCAGCATCACAAGCACAACCAGCTGTAGCAATGCAGCGTGTATCGAATGCTGCAGTGCGTAGAAGATGACATTTAACTATTTTGGGGACAAATACTGGCTAAAATTTATAGTTAGATTGGGGCTCGGGTTGATCTTCATAGGTTTCCAATTGCATGAAAATGTTTAATTTATCCTAGTAATCGAGTTCTTTTTTTTTTTTTTTTAAGGTAAGAATCGAGTTCATTTAACCTCATTTAATATGAAAATTGAGCTTGATTTCCAATTTGAAGATCTTTTGTATCTCTGCTACTATTTTTAATTTTTTAGTAACATACTTTTTTTTGTTTAAATAAGTAATTAGGTGCTCTCCCTAATTTGCAATTTAAACTTCATTGGGCTGCAAAATTGAGATTGTTAGATGAAGGGACAACTCTCCATATCAGGGACAACTCTCCATGAGTTGACTTTTCATCTAACAGTTCTTGATTGCACAACTCTCCTTAAAAAAAAACCATACAAGTAAAATTATATATCTGGTTAGAGAAGATAAAGTGATATTGGACTATAAAATACTACATATAATACGATTAATGTGGACGGTTCCTCAAATCCCAAAGCCTCTTAGTAGCGAAGGGTATTCATAGAGGGTCGGGAGCAAAACATGGTAGTTTGATTTCAACATGTAATTGGGCGCAGGTCATGCAATGCTTGCGGAAATCTACAACATCCTCAAAGCTATGGAACTTACATGGTAAAAGAACTATACCAACGCGGTAGTGGAATCTGATTCCTTGTTGTCAGTACAAAAGATCCACCATGGTGCAACCTGTTTTGATGCATACGAAACTTTAATAGACAAATGTCGAGCCTTCATCTAGGAAAATTAGCATTGTGTATTTTGACATGATTTTTGAGAAGTCAATACGTGTGAATATTATGATTTCATGACAATTATCATTTGAGCATGAGTTTGGTATTATTTTATTGAATCACCTATAAACGTAACATAGGAAATGACAAAAAAATCTCTTAAGTATTTATATGTGCACGAATCCTTTATATTAATTCTTTATATATGCAAAAAAAAGTGAGGTATTAGAATATCTAAGTTTTGTTTTGTTTAGTTGTGATTTTAAATTTTAGTTTTGATTTTAAAAAATTTAGAAATCTAAAATAAAATAAAATTATTTTATAAATTAATT